CGTAAGGCGACGAAAATCGTATATAGACTGCGGAACTATTTTATAGCTACGCCCATGTTGATAGCTTGGTCGTATTTAATGCCCGAATCATAGCAGATCTTGCTAAGTCGGGTGAATTCTGCTTTGTCTCTTAAAAAGACAGGGGGTGGTACTTGCTTTTTCGCAAGTTGGGGAGCGCAACGTAAAGCCGGCTTCGACGGTGCTGCGATGTCTAACGACATAAGAGGGGTCGGGGCAGCGGCGGGGGCTGTGGGGGAAGAAGCGGCAGCGGCGGGGGCTGCGGGGGTGGAGGGAGCGGCACGGGCCGCTGAGACGGGGGGCGAACGGTTTTTCGCGGCGCGCTTTGACGAAACCGTGGTGAAAGATGTATTTGAGTCACTGGTATCATCGGAGTCAGAGGACTCCGATGTCCTGGTGCTGGATTTATTAGCAGGCCTCTTCCGGGAGGCAGAAATTGAGGACGCGAAATCGGAGTGAGAGTACTCCATATCGATCTCAAGGGACGCGAACGAGTTCCGGGACTCGAGGTAGGCCGCTATAACGGGCGGCGGTGCCTGAACGGCGGGAAACCGCGCCTATGCGGTGGCTCAACTTTGACTCCCGACAAGTCGTACACGGTGCGTACTTGTCGGGATAATAAAATTAAAGGTGTTAATTTGAAATATGGGTACTCCATGGGAAACCTTGGTCAGGTCTTGTTTGCGATGAGATAAGAGCAAGCCGTAGTATTTTATTTCAGGATTAAGATGGTGGTAAGACCGAATTATAATGAATATTATACTTACGTCTCACCATGTCAGGAATGATTTTCGTTATTTTTGGAAGTCCACAAGTAAGAAGTTTTACGTTACTGTGAGTGGCAAAAGTATATTTATGACTAAAAAATGTATAGCAAACATCTTTAAATCTTATTTTACAGTGAAATAGCCACTGGGTTCACCGCAGTCTGAGTTTAAGAATGGTCCACCTGGTTCTGGAGCTGAAAACCTCCGTGTTACAGCAAAATACGTCATTAAAGTCAAAAAAGTTAAAACTTATATACGTCCCATTGCTGGACACAGGCCTCCCCTCATTTCTGAGAGGGTTTAGGGCAAGGAAATGTCCACCGCGCTGCCCCAATGGGTGTTGGCAAACTTCACATGTCTCCGAATTTTTTTTCTTATTTCTCCAACATTCAGGTTTCCTCACTGTTTTCCTTCACCGCCGAGCACGTGTCAAATCAGCATTTAAAATTGCAATTAACAATTTCATTGGTGCCAGCGGGGATCGAACTTGAGATGCTCACGTACTGTAAAATTGATAGCCAGCGCTAACCATCTGAGCTAAGATAGCTTAAATACGTCATAGAAGCCATTAAATTAATGTCTGGAGAAAATTCTCACGGCCATGACGACATGATTGTAGTGTAACGCGGAGTAGTAAAAGCTTAAAATTTTTGGTACTTAAACGAGATCAAAGTAGTTTATTGGTCAGGTAAGTCCATGTAGGTTGGAGTATGGTGTGAGGTTAAGAGGGTTGACCTCAACCAAACTCTTTAATCTTTTAGTAAACTCCTTATAGAGATAGAAGATATAATATGACATAGAGATATAATATGCAAGCAATAAATCTGTGGTGACGCTGTCATCGTACTGTAAGCGAAACGCACCAGAGGCTAAATCGCGCTATCAAAAATCCGAAGTTAACGCGCTATATATGTAACAACATTCAAAAACTTCAACTTAAAGCTTTCGTCATCGTCCTCAAGATATTGTCTACAGTCTTCAGACCTTCAAGCATTCTAGTTTTACAAGGTTCATCGTAGCACTGGAATAATGCTTCCTGTTCCTTCAAGCAACTCTCTGCGCTACAGTGTTCGGCATGGCTCTGAGTCTTACTGCTTGCCTCTGCTTCACAGCCCTTTCGTAAACTACTTGCCTTCTTCTCGACTCACTGCAGATTAGAAGGCAATTCCTGTCAATTGCACATTTGTCGACATCTAGACTGCACTATAGATCTCCGGTATGAGCAGGGAGGTGATGTGGTGGCGCTGTCATTACGCCGTAAGTAAAACGCACCGAAGCCAAAATTGCGCTAACAAAGTTCTTAAGTTAACGCACTATATATGAATATTCTTAATAGATTGATTATTAATATGAATACGTATGCATGTAATATATAAATTATACTAATAATTTAACGCTTTTAACCATGTTCAAAAACGGAGTAGGTTCTCGATTTGGATGTTTATATTTTTTTATATATGTTCGGGCATAACTCCGTCATATATAGACGGAAATGTAAAATTTTTAATAAATAAATTTAATTATTTATTAAGTGATTTATTGTTAATTTATAAGTTATTTATTTTTTTATAGGAGAAGGGGCAAACGAGCATGTGGCTTACCTGATGTTAAGTGACGACCGCCGCCCATGAACAACTGCAATTCCAGAGGAATTGCAGATGTGTTGCCGGCGTATTAGAAAGGAGTCCTAACTCACATCGGTCCGGTAAAATTCCTGGTAGTAGTCGAGCTAGGAAGAAAACCTCTAGTAAATCGCACAGTGGTGGACTGTCAATCATCCAGATGATATGGATAGTATCGCGAGTTTTGGCGCGATGTCAGATGGTGAAATTGAGCGGCTGGAATTAGTCCGAACAATTCCTCAGAGCACTCCCCATAATAGATACAATAAAATATGCAAAGAGATGCCAAATCAGTGCCAGTAAATCAAGCCGATCAGAAATACCTTGGTCGCCGATGATTAGAACCGACCTGCGGAAGATGCGATCAAATGGAAAGAACTGGCACTGGGGAACCGCAGTTCAGAGATGGGAGTAGAGCCAGAGAGCATTCCACGTGAGGCCGAACCCGCACCTTGTAAAGTGCCGGCATGAAATATTGTCCCACTCTGCTGAGCACGCCAAGCTTTTTAGAGGCCAATATTGCCGTCTCTATCATTCCAGTTTATACATGGTACAAAAACCATGCTGCAGTTATATTAGTAGTATAGTTGTACCACGAATGGGACAGCTTCACCGGGGAAGGACCACGCTCTCACAGAATACCAGCGTAAAAAAGCAGCTTAACACTCCCGTGTATTGTATGGTGAGTGTAAAGGTCCGGAGACCCTTTTTACTGGAAAAGAGGTATTCCGTCTCAGTCCTCACGAGTGAATTTTGTGTTAAGTTGTGTTGTGTTTTTGTTCATAACTCATCTTCATTTTGGTTCTTAATTGATGTTTGATGTAGATATCTATGGGTCACAGCAAACACTTAACAGCAGGTGAACTGTGTGCTCGTTTGTCACCCTATCCTATAAAAAAACTGTGATCACGAAACTGCACGTCGTGTGATATATCGACGTCGAGGATTCCGATACCAGCTGAGGCAACAAGGGGACTAGACTAAATTTAGTCGCCCCCAGTCTGAGACTAAGTTCAAAACGTCTCAACTTCAGATACATGTTTGTTTCGGTACTAGGCGACGCTTTCCCGAAAAATATTAGCACGGCCGGTGTATAACGCATCACCAGTGTTGTCGTCCGCATAGCAATAGAGTTACCGGTTTGCAACATATCATTGATATGCAGAAGACACAACGTTGGTGATATGTAGCACGCAATCTTGTGTTATTTTTACTAAACCGTACGAAATGAAATTATATATCATGGGCAAACCTATGAGTTAAAAGCGTTACCGCTTTTGGCTGAATTTAAAATATACTTGGGCAATCATTCTTAAATGATTAAGGTGAACTCTGGATACACCATTTTTAGTAACACTTTGACATTATTTGATTAAATAAAACGACTCTGAATAATTTACTAGTTAATAACACCATGCTTATAAGTAATGATTCTGTTAAATAAACTAAATATACATCAAACTCAAAACTTAGAAAAATTAAACAAAACAAATTCCATTCAATTTGAAAATGATTTGAAACATGCCCATAAATAATAATAATTATTATCTGTTTGTTGAAAAATTGATCTTTGTAACTTTTCTTATTTGTAAAAGATACAGATACATTTCGTTTATTTTTCCCTTCAGAATAATTTGAATTTAACATGAATAAAATCGGAAAATGTAATTTATATTTTAAAAATCATGGGTCATACAAATTACGACCCGTAACATACACTTGATGGTGTTACTTTTAATACCGAAATGCCTTACTAAATATGGAACTATATCCCCGTGGATTGATGTTAATTTTTATGATTTTTATTGTTACGGCTATTGGCTGAAATATCCTACTCCGGATACTTCGCATTCGTCTCTTTCTCTCGAAGTTTAGTTTTCTGAATGTTTCATTTCTACCGCGTGTGAACTGCACACATGTTTTTTAAGCAATAATTTACAATAAAATATAGCCGATTTCCCATGGGTTATAATATATTTAATAAATATATTGCCATATTTCATCCTACGTGGATAAGTAAATATGGAAAATGACAGGGCGATCTTTCGACATTTAGTTGAATCGAATAACCACCACTTTTTGTAACTTAAAGGAAAGGAAAAAAAAAGGGAAATGGCGAACAACCTCAGAAATACGAAATACCTTAGACTTTGATCACCAATTCGTCTGCCAAGCCTGACGATTTTGATAAAGCCTCCCTACAACTGAAGAGAACTATATGGGTAGATAAAAAAGAACAATTACTCTTTAGTAGCTTCAGCTTAAAGAAAGTACTGTGTATCTAAATTTAATAACAAAGTAACAAAATTAATAACATTTTTGAAGTTTAAATATAAAAAAACCTTACGAATTATTATTATTATTATTGCCATTGTATTTATTTAAAATAAATTCGATGAACATTAAATAAAACACAACTGTGTAAAATAATTCCATTCTTAGTTGTAATTAAAAATCATTTACATTTTTTTTGCATTGCATTAAATAAAGTGAAAATAAAATATTTATTTAACAGCTTTCAATTTAGATATAAACTACTCCGGACTGATAAAAATGTATCACTTTTCACTGCTTATCCAATTGTAAAATATGATTAATTTGCGTTTTTGATATTCCTTGGTATGAATTCTAGAGCAGCATTTGAGGGTCTAACTTGAAATTGTTCTTTCTTATACTTAATCTCACCACCTTCAACGTGAGTTTTCACTGTGAAGTATCGAAGTAGATATATAAAACCAGTCGTTATTTGTATTCGGGCGAACCTTTCTCCGATACAGACCCTACTTCCTTTCCCAAAGGCCATATATACATGATCAGTCATCGCTTTAGATTCATTTGCAAATCTCTCCGGAATAAATTTGTCAGGTTCCGGGAAGAATTTCGGATCACGATGAACTTCGAATGGACTCAGTAATATTTTTGTTCCTTTCTCTATTTTTATATTTCCAACGGGTAGCACGGAATCTTTTACACATTGTCTTCCCAGTATACCAAGAGGAGGATACAGTCTCAGGCCTTCATTGAGAACCATCTCTAGATATTTCGCATCAGACAGGCTCTCATAGGTTAGAGTGTTATTATACTTCTTAAATATATCATCAATTTCATCATGAACTCGCTTCAATACATCTGGATTACGACCTAGTTCAATTAACGTACAATACAAAGCTAATGCACTAGGTTCAACGCCAGCTATGAAAAAGAAAAATGCTTGAGCCGCCATAAGCTCATCAGTGGGCTCAATACTGAGTCCAGTTTCGCCATCTTTCATATCGCCTTTCTTTTGTAAATTAACGCATAAATCTGCAAAATCGTATTGCTTCACACCTTCCTTCTCCCTTTGTCGTATCAACTGTTTTACAGCATTGATGAAAAATGTTTCATGCTCTGCAAATAACGCTAATTTTAGCTTCCGGAATAACCACGGACTGATGAGTAAAAGTGAAAACCTTAAATTTGACCAAAATGTTGGCACGACTGCATTTTGGGCCATGCGAAGAAAAGGTGAATCAAAGATGGACTCTGTAGTAATACCAAATATTGAAGCGGAAATTGCTGCACTACAGAAAGTAGAAAGGGTTTCAAAAGCATTTCCTTTTAACTTCTCTGGGTGATCATTTAAATATTTAACGAAGTCTTGAGCACTTTTATCCATAACACTGTACATAGTCTTAAGTTTAACAAGACTGAATAACGGGGTCAGGTTTTGCCGTATTAGTTTCCACCGCTTTCCGTTTAAAAACGGAACACTATCAGCCAATCGGTCTCCCGGTTGTACTTCAAGTCCTCTGTGATAGAAGGATTCAAAATCCACTTGCAAAATGTATCGTATGTTTGTAGCATCTCTGACAAGCACAGTTGGAGCACTTACAGAACCAACACCGACGACAGGTGCATCAGGGTATTTTTTGTAAATATCAGCGAGTATTTCAAAAAACGCCTGCTTGCCGAAAATAAAGTCCCATAATGGACCGATGATTTTATTCCTCGAATAAAAGGCAACACCACGTTGTTTCCAGTAGCTTTCGTTGTATTTGCCAAAGTAATGACTAAAAGTAAGCACTAAAACAGTCAATAAGAGTAACGCCGGTATTAACATTTCATGTTATTATTGACGAGCACAATACACATAATGACATAAAAAAGAACAAATCATTCTCTTATATAGTAAAAAACCAGTTATCTTGAGGTAACTGAACGCGCTTCAAAGTGTGCGTTAAGTAAACAAATTACTTTGGACTTGTATAAGTTGCGCGAATTGTAGATTATAGTCGGAATATATTATATTGTTAAATGTGTATTAATACAGACTATAATCAACTATAGCTTAAATAAGGCTAGCTCGTATTAATTATAATAATATAATATTACATCAATCACGTTTCCATATACGTCTATATCGCGTAAAATATACTGTATAAATTTTATTTTGAGTTTTTAATATTCAATTAACTGGTTTTACAGCTAAATTATTTCTTTAAATTATAATATACTTAGTACTAGGTAGTATATCTTATTTTCTTGATTGCTTTAGATATTGCATTCTGATAGAAATCAATTTTGTCCCAGGGTACTATGTAGCTTCGGTAGATTTCGTATTTAGTCTTTTTCCAAAAGAAGATAGATAATTTTTACGTTAGATTCACATAAAAATTAAATTCACACATATTGAATCAAACTTTATATTAAACCAAGGCTGGTTTTTAACATACCTAACATATAAACCATCAGATATTCTCCTGCAAAATTAAAATAGTAGTAAGTAAACGAGATCTAACTAGCATCCAGGTGGCTTAGGTATTTTAAGGTGATGCAAGGCTGATGATGAATCGATATTTATTGATATAATTCAATAACACGTATTCTATTGGCGAAGTGTAAAAATAGTTAAAACATATATTACTTTTTGTTATCTAATCACTATGGCTTGCAATATAAACATGTTGACCTCCGAAGAAGGCAAAATTTTGCTTATCATTGTTCGTGTTTTTAATAATCGCTGTACCAAAGAAAAACAAAAAATAACACTGGGCTATACGTATTTTGTTTTTATTGTATATTGTGTAAAAACTTTATCTATTATAAATTGCGCGGTTAAAACTTCTCAACAAGTTTATTAACAACCAAGTACCTGAGCGAAGGAGGTTTTCTCGGCGTTAGAGGAAAAAATATAATTTTCTCAGGGCTGACAACAATTAATATGATATTGGAAAGTATAATTTATTCTAAACACAAAGTTTCAACCAATAATAAAATGTATTATATAATTTACATTCAAGAATTGCCCCTCTAAAGTAAGTATATATTTTTGTTTTATAGGTAGGTACCACCAAATATGGTGGCCTGATAAAGTACTGTTCATTTTACGAAATAATTATTTATGAGGGTTTGTCCTCTGCGAATGATCTATCGTAATGCAAATTGCGTAGTCCTTATCTAAAACCAATTAACTTCGGTACTAGAAACCTATATTCTCAATTAAACCAAGTGTTTGTGAAAATTTGAAATTAAGAAAGGACTGAGCAAATTTTTTTAACTTATAATAAGTCAGTGCTTGACCACAATCCCACCTGGTGGTAAGTGGTGATGCAGCCCTAGATGGGAAATCGCGCAGTCTTAGCATAATAAAAGCCTATTCACTCTTGCCTGGAAGACGCCCAGATTGTATTCGGACGGAAAGATAAACGCCAGCAAATTATTACACTCCTTTGCTGTACGCATTACAAAAGGCGAACTAAACCTTTTGGTTCTAATGCGTGAAATATCGACAACAAAGGGGGAAGACCCGCCGACCGCCTGGTTGTCCGATGTTGGAAAGGAGAAGGAGGAATTAAAGCGTGTAATTCCTACGCACACTCACCGAAATGCATCCTATAGAATATCGAGAGACTGACTACTCTGCGCCTGTGCTCGAGGCTGACAAGATTGGTTTCGACCCAAATCAAGGTCACCTATAAGCTTCTTAGGACGTCCAACATAAAATAACATTAAATTGACAGATCGGTTATATGACTCTGTCTTTGGTCAGTTAAATAATTTCAAAATCACCGGAAATAGTAATATAAACAATAAAGTCGTTGCTCTATATTAAGATGCCGTTAAGTCTCATGCTGTCTCTATTACCTTAAGTCATGAAGCCATTTAAAACTTAAGTAGACTAATCGCAGCAAAAAAGTAAATAATAAATTAATTAAAAATAAAGTGCCTAGATCTCGTATTAAAAACTCAAATTTACAATGTCAAAACTTTATGTATTAATTATAGTAAGACCTTTGATTAAGGCTTTAACTAGCCTGAATGACCTTGATGAAACGGCGATCGCAGAGATTTTAGCCGATATCAACACCGTCTAGCAACTACGTTCTGTATTACTTATAAAAGTGCAAAGATTAATAGACTGCAGAGATGACAATTATATAAGTGATATACTGCCTGTTATGCTTGCGCATCACTGAGAATTATGTCGCGGTTACGCATCTTCAATTACATTGCACGGTGTGGTGCTGTAGCTTTGTCCGGTAGGCATCACGAGCTATCAAGTGTTCAAGTTTCAAGTACGTAAGAATTTTTATTATATATATTAAATCGTATTTATTTGTGTCGTATTAAAAATATGTCGTCAAAGCGTTCGCTGTAAATTTTCCCGGGTTTGATCCCCGACAGCACGAATGAAATTTGTAATTGCAATTTTCGTCAACACGCATTGGGGAAGCACGGCGGGCATTTCCTTGCCCTAAAACCCTCTCAGAAATAAAAAAGAGTCCTGTGCCCAGTAGAGGGACTTGTATAGCCTATTACTTTACTTTGTAGCAATATTTATATTCATTTCAGATATAGAAGGGTACCTTATGCTGACAAAAATATCATGTGGAGGCGACGAAAACGTAAAACATCTTTGTACCTATATAAAACGTTCGAAAGATTGTCAGTCACGTCATACGCCACATTTTCTATAGAGCGTAGAACATTGCAGATAGGGCAAAATAAAAAATAATCCAATATATTTTGGGAACTATTTATTAATAATATATACATTTATAGGTATTTATAATAAAAATAATGAACAAGCTGCAAGGTTCAACTAATAATGTTTTTTGTAAACACAATCGTAAAATTCCTGTTTTAATTTTTACCAATGGTTAATTGATGAAACGTAGTCAAGATCACTTCATATGAAATATATTTAATTAAAATTGACACGTGACCTATTTGGCCTTCTACTTACAACTCGGTGGAAATTTGAAAAGAAGATTTTGTCTTTTCACACAATTATTGTTTACAACTGGCGTGGTTTCGAAAAGCGTGATTAAGTGACAGCGGTATATAATCTATTAAATACTGAACTTTTATTTTTGTTATATCTTCTTAAAAACTGACGCCATCTCACTATTTTATTATTTGTTTTTTTTTTTGTAACGCATAAGGATAAATTAGACTAAGTTAGATTAACTTGGATAAGCTTTTTTTTTTTAAATTTTATCACAAAATTTCCGCAATAAATTATTACCTTTTCTACAGTGATTCTGTCCTCTTAGTTTCGTCGTGACTGTAGGATGTTATAGTGAGTCACCGTCAGTTACTAAGCGGCCATAAATCATTATATGTATGTATAGACATACATATATACATTTTTTGATTTTAATATTTATGTTTTTTGAATTTTGATTGATATTTTGAAACCTGGTAAAATTACTTTTTTCCATACCAATTGATGGGCCTGAGTATAATGCCAGTTATGCTCTTTGGCTGAAGTTATTTTTTATTTTATGCTCAATTGCAGACAAAACAATATTGATTGCGCATTTCTGAAACAAAATTTTACCTCTTCTAGTAATAATAGCTCCTTCACCTAACACGGCGGAATAGTTATTATTATCTATAAGACCATTTGGGAAAACAGTTTTTGTTAACAGTTATGAGTGTAACATTTTATCAGCTGCTTTGTTTATAGTGCCTTGAGCAATACTTTGCCGGTTTCTGTACAGAAAATGATGCTGGCTTTGCAAATACGGATGGCCGCTACCATCGAATATAATTCCCGCTATGTTACACTTATTTACATAGAAACTTTAATTATAATTTGCATAAAATTCTAAATAGCACTTTTTACACAAGAAAGTAAACTTTTAGATCAGTCCATTTTGTTTTTCACTAATTAAGTAAAAAGTAAAACAAACCAATAGGGCCGGGAATTAAAATTTCTTGCAACTTTTTATAGAAAAGCATGACCTTATCATAATATAAAAGTCAATCATTTAGCCATGTGATAAAACTTTTAAGTGTGCCAGTCAAACATTAATGATGATAGTCGGGTCATTATACTGGAAATAGTCTTTTAAATATTTTGTAGTACAATTGATAATCTTCAGTATGATTGACCGTGTATATTACTTTTATAAGTCTATGTTGTTTTTGATGAAAATTATTATTGCAGATAAAAGCCCTTTCACATTTATTTTAGTCTCGAATTAAATTAATCAAAATGAAAATAATAACATTGGCTTTTTATAACTGATCTTTAAATGTAAAACACTGACTTGAAATTATATAATTATTGGCATTTTTTTAATTCATTGAACTTTTTTAAGATTTTGTTAAAACTCTACTGGTAAAAAAAACAAATATATATATATATATATATATATATATATATATTATAGTTCTTGATGAAAATAATGTATGCGCGTTACATCGCATCCCATCAAGAATTTGTAATGTAATTCTTGGTATAAAGCTAAGACGTGATAATAACTGTAAATAATAGAATAACAAAATAATGAAAACATTTACATTTACATACAAAACATTTACAAAAATACTTGCTTTATAACCTTATAAATATGATTTGACCGTAATAAATTAAAACAAGGTAGTCTTGGGCATGAAAGTAAAAATAAATATTTTCGATTATTTTTGCAATATCTAACAGCCGGATCAGTGGGCGATTCTGATCCATCTAAAGATGCTAAATTTCAGCAAGCACTGTCAAATTCAATAGGAGTGACAGAAAAACGGTTCTTGATATAGAAAGGTAAATAAATTATTTAACCTATAAAGTAAAATCACTTTATTACAAATCAAAATAGCCCAATAGCTTTA